GAACCACAGCAACCTGAGCCTGACTGCTTTGTTGGAGCAGCCACTTAAAGAACTGAGCTACAGGGCAGGCCCCATGTGTTTCGCTTTCTAAACAAAGAGTAGATTAAACACCTAATATTGTATGTTTTTTTCTGTTTCCTAGGTCAACAAGGCAAACATGAGTATATAATTACTAAAGGTGGATTACTGATGTGTAAGAACATTATTCATGTTGTTGGTGGAAATGATATCAAGAGATCAGTTACCTGTATTCTGCAAGAAACTGAGAAACTGAAATACTCATCCATTTGCCTCCCAGCAATTGGGACAGGTTTGTAGCCTCTTGGGCTGGCAAGACCAAATGGCAAGGCATCCACTTTCCCATAGATTTGGTGCTGAATGCTAATGTAGGTATAACTGGATCTGAGTGAGGGCCCTGTGGTTTACCTAGGAGTGGACAGCTTGTTCCAACCCCTGAGGCAATGCCTGTGGGTGGTTTAAATAAAAAGAGAAAAATTGTAGTTGTGTGTGCCTGTGGTCCCCGCTACTGAGGAGGCTGAAGTGGGGGGATAGTTTGAGCTCATGTGTTCTGGGCTAGCCTGGGCCACATAGCAAGGCTTCATCTCAAAGGAGAAGGAAGAGATAGAGAAGGAGAAAGAGAAGGAGAGGAAGAAGAAAAAAGGGGGGGGGGAGGAGGAAAGTGAATTGGGATGTGGCAGAGAAGGAACAGCAAGAGAGGGCAGTCTAGGAAAGGGAAAGGTGAGGAAGGCATTCCCCCCTCCCCACCCGCCTGCATCTGCTCCTCTCTCTTCTCTTCCCTGCACAAACTCCCCCATTTAATCCATTCACCTGCACCTCTGTCCTGCCTCATGAAGACTGTCACTGCACCACCTTCCAGCTGCCAGTGCAGCCCTCAACTCAACATGCCCTGCATTGCAGAGGCCTCTCAGTCACTCACACCTAGCAATCCAGAAGCCCAACTCTCTGTCTTCCTCTTTTGGCCTGCATGCTGCTTTTGAGTTTGTTTTTCTCAGATTATGTGATGATTGTGTGATTCTTCCTTTCTCAGTGCAGCATTTGGGCTTATCGTTCCTTAGCGGGTGCCCTTGAAGCCACCTCCCCAGGAGTCAGGGCTCTGTGCACAGAGAGAAGAGGAGCTTCTGCTGGGTCTCTTGCAGGAAGCTCAGCGGGCAGGGAATGCAGTGGGTCTTGAGTGGTCACTGCAAGGGCAGACTCTAAATAGGAGCCGTGGTTCCCTTGCTCAGGAACCTCAGCTTGAGTTGGTTGGTTGGCATTCCAGGCTCTCCACAAGCTCAGTCTCAATACACTCTGCCATCCTTGGCACTTCCTGGGCCTTCCAATCCTCTGACTCATATTTTGCTTCCTGTAGTTCCATATGATTCCTCACAATGTTCCCAGATGGAATGGTTTGCCTACTTTATTTCCCTATCTCCAAGAGTATAATGATCTTTTCATGCTTTTTATTGCCCTCATGGTGTCATCCATCCCTAATGATCAGCCAACATTACCTTTGTCTACATTTCTGGCTAACTATCTGCTATGGACACCCCGTCTTTGTCTCCATCTGCCTTTTGTTGTTGTTGCTGTTGCCCCTGTGAGATCTAGTCTTAAATTACTCTTAGGGTGGCACAGATCTTTCCAAGGTAGTCCCTGGTGAAGACACAGGAAGGAAGCGACTCTTGTTTTAGGGAAGTGCTCTGCCACCTTGCCAGCTCTCTTTTCATTTTCATATGAGTCTTTGAGCATTTCTGGGTTGCTGTCTATGTGGTGTCTCCCCCACAGGCCTAGCTGCAGTGCTGAGCTGCACAAGTAAGGCAGGGCTAGCAGCCTTTCCTTGCTGGTCCTCTCAGCTGTCTTTATTGCTCCCAAGGCTGGCCTTTAAAGCTACGGGCGGAGGTGCTCACCCCCGAGTGGTGTTTATAGGTCGAATGAGAACTATGGCCAAGACAGTCTATGGGAGTAAAGGAAGTGCCTTGTCCCTTCCAGACACCTGCACCAGGTGGGAGGAAATGGGTGGCCAACAACAGCTGCAATGGCTTACGCTCAGTGCGAACTCCAAACTCCTGCTCTCTGCTCTCCCCCACAAAGCCAGCCCTTCTTCTTCTGTCCTCAGTCATATGAAAGGCATCACTTTTCTGGCACCATCTTTCTTACCTCTACATTCATTAACTAATTAACTAATTAGCCTCAATATTAGATTCAGTATTTTTTCACTCAGGAACAGGAAATAGAAAGAAGGGTAAGGAAAAGGTCCAGGCCATGAGGACCATCAAGTCAGGTGTGTGAACAAGTCATGGCAACAGTGAGAGCCGGGCTGTTGTGAAGGATTGTGGGTGGGAAAAGGGGGGAAGGCAGGGTCGAGGGCTAGGCCACCGGGTGCTCCTGACCTTTTCTCCTAGATGTCTCCTCAGGGCCTGTATCACACCTTACATTCCAGTCTCCTCTCTGTTCAGCTCTTGTCTTCTGTCTAATCTTTTGTGCTGGCTTCTTAACTAGACCTATGTTCCTCTACTTCAGTGCTTCCTCCATTGTGGCCCTCCAGATTTATCTTTGACTGTAGACAGAGGCTGAGATCCATCTTTCTCAAAGACCAACCTGCTCCTTTGTCCGTGACTGTCTGTCTTGTGCTTCTGAGACCCAAAGGTCTCTCCAGCAAAGCCCTTCCCTCAGTTTCCCATACTTCACCTGCCAAACCCCTGTCCCTCCTGCCTATCACTGTGTCCTAGCTGAGCGGCTTATGATGAGGGGGCACAGCAGATGTTTACTGAGAGTCTGAATGATCTGAGTATTTCCATTTAAACTCTTCCAAATATCAGGGGGGGGGGGGAACTACAGCTTTGTAAATGATAATTTCCCTCTTTCTCTGTTCTTGGATTTAAAAAAAAAAAAATGCCTGAAGAAACTCTCTTGGTTAATTCTGTATGTGGTGTGTTAATCCCCACAGTTGTGTATATAACCAAATCGAGGAGGTCTGCTCTCATTTTCTGGAATAGTAGTGGGGACCACTGACAGGGTAATCTGAACGGGCTCTAATCTAACACAGGAGCTTGGCTGGGAAACTTTTATGTCACCTACCAAGTGACTGTGCCATTCACGTGGGATCACCTCCTTGCCTGAAAAGGTACTTTGCATGAACTTGCTGAAGCAGGCTTGAGAAACACGATGTGTGAGCTGAGGGTATCTGCTCAGCGGCAACCTAGAGCCCTGCCAGTCAGCTCAAATTTCAAGGATTTGGGGAGTAAAACGACTTCCTGGAGACTCTGGATAACTTATATCCAAAGGATTAGAGATTATAGCAGATATCTTACTGTACTGCCTTTTTTTTTTTTGAACCAGGAATTGAACTCAACACCTTGTGCTTGCCAGGCAGGCACTTGTGCCACTGAGCTACATACCCCAGCCCTCCCACTGCATGTTTTACAAAGTTATTTTAGTTTAAATCTGTTCCCCAGAGATACTTGGGAGAATATAGATATATAAAATCATGTGATGAGGTAAGAACAAAGACATGTTTTTCTCTGCTGGGAGCTGTGTCACACATATTAGTGTTGTTTGCCACTTGTGGCTCTTCTGAGGACACTGGTTAACTAAGAAAACAAGTTACCTGCACCTTGTAACTAAAGGAGCACAGTGCTTTGGAATCAGCCGGACAGGCAAATGAGAATGTCAGAGACCAGAAGTCAGGGCTCAGGGTCCCTTGTTCCTTGCTGGGTGGTTGACTTACTGACAGCACAGAACAAAGACTCCTCACTGTATCTAGGACTTCAAAAGACTGTGTTTACTTATACTGTAGAAACATTTACATGGATGAAAGAGTTGGGACCCTGGCATTTATTTTGTAAGAACTGGAATTCCTAATTTGCCTTTTGGGTTTTCCAGTTGAATTTTTTTTCTTAGTCATTTTTATTATTTAATTTCCCAGGAAATGCTAGACAAGACCAATATAAGGTTGCTGAAGGTATACTTGATGCCATTGAAGACTTTATCCAGAAAGGATCAGTCCAGTATGTGAAAAAAGTTAAAGTTGTTATCTTTCAACCCCAAATACTGGATGTATTTTATGACAGCATGAAAAAAAGAGAAGGGTCTCAGGCTTCTGAGCAACCATCGGTGATGTCTAAACTGAGCTGTGAGTTCTTTATTTTTATGAAATGCATATTCCTAATACTGGGTTTACATGGGAAATAGCTAATCTTCCTTTTTCTCTTTAGCTTCCTTTTTATTTATTTATTTAATTTATTTTTTTGTCTTTCTTTTTCTCTTTAGCCTTTTTTGGTCTTTCAAAACCTCGCATACAAAAGAAGCCCTTGGTTTTGGAAAAGAAAGTAGAACTGGCAGTCTTCCAGGTGTGTGGTGAAAACCAGACTTCTGTGGACCAAGCTATCACCTGGCTAAAGAACCTGATTAAAAAGGAGCAGTGTTCTTACAACAATACAGATGAGTGTCTGAGAGATTTTGATGAAAAGGAATATAACAAACTGAATGAGCTGCAGAAGACGTTAAATATCACCATTTCTCTGGACCGGAAGAAACCTTCCATGGAGGTTTTGGGAATTAGCAGAGATGTGATGGAGGCTAGAGATAAAATTGAAGAAATGATCAAGAAGGTGAGATGGGCCAAAGAAGAAGAAAACAGGGCGGACTGTATTAGTGAATTTATAGAATGGCAATATGGTGATGGAAACACTTTTCGTCGTTTTGACAAAATGACCAATCTGCAATTGGAAGATGCCAGGAAAGCAAAGAAAACCCTCACCGTTATTAACATCAATAGTCAAAGCTACACAGTAAATGTGAAAGCCTGCACAGCCACGGGCGCGGGAGGAGCCAATGTAATTCTTCAGCGCATCAAAAAATCGGAAGGTGAGTGAAGTCTGCACACTTGTCATCCATTATTTCTCACCTACTTTGGATGTAACCATCATTGCATGTACATCAAATTTTGAGGTGGATAAAACTCAAGAGAGCTTAGTGAAATACACTAGAAAACTTGGGTCACTGAATTCCAAGAACCTACATTATGGCCAGGAAAACACAGCTTAGATGTGCTCAGCAAGCAGCCCAAGGGGCCTGATGGCAGCAGCAAACCTGGCGTTCCTCCGATCTCTACATTTTGTAGGCTTCGTGGGGCCAGTTCTGCTCAGGAAGCAATGGCTGCTTCAGTTAGAGGAGGGAAAGCCATAGCCTCGAAAGAAAAGTAGTCTAAGATTTGTTTTTTTGTTTGTTTGTTTCTTTGTTTTGTTTGTTTTCTTTCTTTTCTTTTTTTGAACAAAAGGGCAAAAGGACAAAACAGAGGGGGACAGGCTGTGACCAGTGCCCTGTGTGTGTGTGTGTGTGTGTGTGTGTGTGTGTGCGCGCGCGCGCGCGTGTGATGACCCTTGGAGGATCTGAATTTTCCTGCCAGAAGTCACTCTGCTGTGAGCAGGCTGCTTGGCATAACATTAGGGAGCAGTTTGAGATTCCCCGACTGCATCTGCTCCCCAAGAGGGGAAAGCCTGTCTTGTGTAGACTGCCTTTCTTACCTGAAAACCACGTAAGTCCTCTCCTGGAAACTATTGACTTGGTTCCTAACACATTATATTAATCTCTTGGGAAATTAGCATGAACAAACTCAGATTTTGAATAAACTGGGGAAACCAACATCTTGCCTATAGTATTCTTCTTAACAAGGTAGGAGATAAAGCTGCCACCTCAACGTGTTACATAAAAACCCCTCACCACCTATGTCTTAAAGAGGTTGTGAAGAAGAGCTAGAACATAAATGGGAGTACCTCATAGTGTGGCAGTCTGGCAAACATCATGCATAAGCAGAACAGTAGCTATTATTGAGAACATGGAATAGAAATAATGTTTTGTTACATTATGAGAGTGAGGGCTGAACAGAAAATCTAGATGAGGGGGCCAGTCAGGTAGCTCAGCAGGAGCAGTGAACAGGGTTCAGTCCCCACCATGCCGTGTAGGCCTTGCTCCTGGGGTGCACTGAGACGGCGACTGAGGCTGGGCATGGTGGCACATGCCTGTAATCCTAGTGCTGAGGAGGCTGAAAAAAAGAGAATCACTACGAGTCCAATCTATGTAGTGAGACCCTGTGAACTCTGAGGTAAATCTATCTTAGCAGGATCAAGATTTAAGATGAAGACACATAGGCTCCACTCCTCAAAGACTGATTCAGTGTATATGTGATATTTCTTTTGGTTCTGGGCATCAAATCCAGGACCTTGTGCATGCTTAGGTGAGCACTCCACCAGCAAGCTACACCCGTAACCTCTGATTTTTTTTTTTTTTTTTTAATGTATGTAGTACAGAGTCAACAGGGTCTCACTACACAGATTAGACTCGCAGTGATTCTCCTGTTTTCAGCCTTCCAAGCACTGGGATTACAGGAGGGCCACCACACTCAGTCTCAACTGCATCTCAGCACACCCTGGGGGTGGGGCTGGCATGGCACCCAGGAATCAAACTCTGGTCACTACTGCTGCCTAAGCAGGTGCTTTAATCCACCGAGCTATCTGGCCAGCATTAGCCCCTGCTTTTTAAAACTAACATTTAAGGTGGTTCTGATGTGGGTGGGCTGCAGTCTACTCTTTGGAAGATATTATCCTAGAAAGATAAAGAACTTCTGGAGCATAGAGAATTTGGAGATTGTAACACAAGAACATAGATGAGATTCAGTTTCTCAAAGCAAACTGGGAATGTATGGGGGTGTCCTCTCCTGTCTGCCTTGCAGTTGACTTCCCCGGGTACTGGAGTGACATGAAACAGCAGAATCTCTGTGTGGTCATGCTGCAGCCTGGTGATAAGGAATTCAAGACTGTGGCAGAAACGTTTACTAAGACTTGCCCGAATTTTGTCATTGAGAAGGTAAGCCTTCTGCGGATGTGGAGTTTCTTAATGGTAGAAATAATTTCTTTAGATGCTTTCTGTCACATTTTCTTTTCTAGGCAGAATTAGAATGGTTATAGTAATTAGATTATAGATTCTGTAACATCATCATAATCACTGAGACATTCAGATTTTTGTATCAGTTATACAAGATGATCTTCAATGGCAACGTGATGTTAGAATGATAAAGACCTGCCGGATCTTCTTTGTGAAGCAAGATAATCGTCAAGGCCATGAGTTGAATGTTGGATTTGATAGCTAGTGAGCACAACAAAGAGACGCACGAGGCTTCTAAGCAGGATTCCATCTTCCGCTCCCTATTTGCAGGCCAACGGTGCCTATTACCCGGGTAAATTTAGTGGCTCTTTCCTCGTTAATCTCAATTATTTTCATATCATGCATTTTAATTATTATTAATATTGCCCTTTAGAATCATGTTCTTCCCCGACTTCTGTGCCAACATACTTTCATTCTTTTTCCTTTTGTCTGATTTTCCTTGCATTATCACTGGCAGCTGTTTTGTTTTATTTTTTTTCCCAAAGCCCCCTCTCTGGCTTTACCCACAGGGCTTACACGCTCCTCTTCTGTCTCTGTACTTCTTTAGGGAACATCTTTACTTTCACAGCATCAGTTATGATTTCAATGTTGGGAGTTCCCAATTCAGGTTCCTAGGACATACTCCCAGTGGCCTTAAAAATGTTCAACTTCATTTTCCCTTATTTCCCCAGTTCTGTCTTGGTTCCACCACTCTGAATAAAGTCAGAGATCTATAAATACCTTTCCTTCATCCATAGCATTAAGACGTCAGTAAAGCTTATGTCCTTTGCAAATTTTCTCTTATTCTCTATTCCTACTGCAACAAGTCTGTTTATTCAAGTAGTTAAACACATAATTTAAAAAGAGTTAGTGTCCTACTAGGGTATATATCACATTAAATGAAGCAGAGCCGGGATGTGGCTCAGCGGCACAGTGCCTGTCAGACAAGCAAAGATGATGAGTTTGATTTCTGGTACCAATACAGAAAGAAAAAGAAAGAAAAAAGGAAGGAAGGAAGGAAGGAAGGAAGGAAGGAAGGAAGGAAGGAAGCAAGAAAGAAAGGAAAGAAGGAAAGAGAGAAAACAAGCCAGGAGAGGTGGTGTACCCTCAGAAGGCTGAGGCAGGAGAATTGCTGAGTTCAGGGCCAGCCTGAATTACATAGTGAGACCTTGTCTCAAAAAAAAAAAAAAAAGAAAAGAAAAGAAAAAGAAAAAGAAAAAGAAAGAAAGAGAGAAAAAGTAGGAAAAATAAGATAATATAGAAGTTTTGCTAGTCCACAAAGAATATATATATAGCATAAAGTCCTACACAGATGTGCATTAGTCCCTGAGCTTCCTAGTACACAAAGCAAAGAAGGAAACACCTAGCACACAACTCATGATGTCCATAACGGGAAAAAGCAAAGCATTTGATAGGGAGACTCAGCTCTTTACAGTCTTGAGATTGACTCCTGAGACATTTCTTGTGTGGACCAAGTACCAGAGAATAATCTTTAATGCCATCTTTACAATACATTCAATGTGAAATTTATGTAACTTTTAAAAACATTCCTTAATGTAAACCAGTTAAACAATACTGATGCCTGATTGAGAACAGTTCTACAAGGCACCAAGATGAGGGTTGCAGCTCTGACAGCCTCATGCAGCTGGCCCAACTGTTGTAACAAAATGTCTTATTCCAAATGCCAATTATGGACTACTGGGAGTAGCTGGCTGGCTCACTGTGCTAGCAGTACACACTGAGCAGGAATGAATGTCCAAGTGGATCAGCTCTGTCCGTGGTGGGTCCCAGGCCTTCCACGTATCACCAGACCCTGCCAGAGAAACTATTTCAGTGTGGCATTGCAGTAGAACCCTGTTTTCAAACAAAATCCTGGGTGAGATCCCAGTATATGAACCGGATAAAAAGAGGTAGGTAAAGCTGTGGGCAACTCGGGAGGGCCCCAGTAGCGTGAAAATTCCAACATGAAAATGACTGATCTGTCACTCTCCAGCACTGTTACATTTTATAATTAAGATTTTTAATGTCTATAACCATTCCACTCAGATTCCACAATTTTGTATATTTTCTTTTCTCTATTTTTACTGAAGCTTTGAAAGTTGCAGTTATCACAACACTCCTCTTTTAGCATGTGCTTTCTAAGGATAAGGACTTTCCCCTACATTACAGAAATGCCATTATACTGTAGAAAAACTCATGCAATAATATCAAATATTATTGAATATAAATAAAAATTTTGCAATGGCTCAGAAAATCTTATGCCTACCCCAGTCTGGGTTAACACATTATATCATAGTTAGTATGTATTTTTATTTTCTTCTAATATTGAATTATTTTTCATGAGACTGAATTTTAAAGCGCTTAAGTCATTTCTGTTGTAGAATGTCCCACATTCTGGATCTTTTGTGCCTTGATATTTTTGAGAAGAATTCAGGCTAGTTTTAAAAATGAAAGTCTAGTCTTGTCTGACTCATTATAGTGTCATTTTATTTATTTCTTGATCTTTATTTCTAATAAACTGGGAGTTAGTTTTAAAAGCTTCAGTGAGTTCAGATAAATTTTTTGTTTGTTTGCAATGCCTCATTGGTGATCCTGTCAGGAGCCACGCTGGTAAGGTCATCCCACGGTTTGTGATGGTGGTGTTCCCAACGACCTTTTGCCCACGTATTTTAAACTTCTTTTGCTGATCCTTGCCCAGATCCATCGTTACAATGGAGGTGACAAGGTTTTCTTTTTTATTTTATTTTATTTTATTTTTATGTGTTTAGTAGACATCTACAGGCTCTCACTACACAGATCAGACTCGCAGTGATCCGCCCGTGTTCAGCCTCCCAAGCGCTGGGATTACAGGTGTGTGCCACCACGCACAGTCTCAGTGGCCGGCTCAGAGCGCCCCGGGGGCGGGCCGGCGTGGCAGCTGCGCATCGAATCCCGGGCGCTGCGCTCTGCCTCAGCAGGCGCTTTAGTCCGCTGAGCTATCTGGCCGGCCCTCAAGGAGGTTTTCTAATGCTGTCATTCCTTCTGCGTTTTTGTTACCTGGCAGTTTTTCAAGGAGTAAGGTTTCTTCCTGCCTGCTTTTTAGAAAATTCGGTATATTCAGTTACAGTGATGATGACGATGACGGTGATGATGATGATGATTTTTATTTGCTACTAACAGGATATTTCTAATCAGAAAACTAAACACTCAGGGAGCCTACCAGAAGAATAAAGTGCTCTGCCAGTTATTAAAAGATTAATGCTGGTGAATTAAATATGGCATTCCCTACTGAGAAATACAGGCTCTTCTGGAGTTGGTCAATATGTGTTTCACAGAATTAACTGCTTTAGGAACAGATCTAAAGCCTTGCCACAGAAGAGATGGACAAAGCACAAAGAAAGAGCTAAATTAGGAAGCAACCCCTTTAGGGATTAAAATATGGAGAAACGCTCCAAGAACATGTAGGATGAAGGGGCAATCATTATGTTATTAGATGCACAAAGCATCCTACAAATGGCGGGTGGCAGGTTGGCTCCCGTCTTTTGATGACTCCATTAATCCTGGAGCACTTCTTTGCTTTCTGGCGCAAGGTCTGTCGTGCTCAGCCTGGGCTTGAGCTGCCCTCGGCTGGAGTCAGACATTTCTGCCGAGGCCTGGACTCCTGGCCCAGGGGACTGACAGCGCCGCGGAGCGCTGTGGGCGAGCGTGCGCGCTGCTTTCGGACTACAGCTGAGAAAGACGCGCTCACACTCAGGCTTCCCGTGAAACTGCAGTATTATAGAGTTTTTCTTAATATCATATATTTTGTTTTGTTATTTTCCTGTACAACAGACAGTTTGGTTCCTACAAACAGTAATTTGCCTGTTTTATCCTACAATATACGAAAATAGTTTTAAAATTATGATGCCAAATTTATTAGTCCTAATTTTAAAATAGCTATACTAGCTCACTTTGATTATTACTGTTAGCATGCCATATTTTTCTCTTTGGTTTCTTTTAACATTTCATGTAAGATGTGTTTCTTAGTAACAACATATACTTGAGTTTTTCTTTTTAAACTCTTAACTAGAGTACTTAATCTGTTTACTGTATTTGCTATGTTTACTGGTATATTTGGATTAAAATATTCCACATTAATCTTTGTTTTTCTGTTTATCACACCTGTTTGTCTGTTGTTCTTTTTTCACTTTCTGCCCTTGTGTGGATCAAGCATTTCTATGATTCTGCTTTCTTCCTCGTGAGCTCTTTGGTTATGTATTCTAGTCTAATTCTTTATTTTACTCTAGAAGTTATGTGTGCCCTTGACTTATCAAGCTTGTACTTAAATCGGGACGTCGTTCATCTCCTGCGCAATGCAGTGATCTCTGAATGCTTTAAGTCACATTTGTCCCCCTCTTGAATTTTGTGCTACTTTGAACAGCTACCAAAATATTTACCCTTTCCTCCCACCGTCCTGCAACGCCTTCTGCCTCTGGATTTAGCTCTTCTCCTGCAGACTGTGTGGTCATGAATTCTCCATTTTTGTTTTTCTGAAAGTGTCTCTATTTTACCTTCATTTTGAAGGATAATTTTTGTTGAGAATAGAATTCTAGACGGGCAGCTGTTTTCTTTAGGCACTCTGAAGAAGTTACTCCACCGTCTCTGACTTTGTTATTTTCCCTGTATTTCCTTTCCCTCTGGAATCTTGACTTATCAAATCCTTGTCTTCAAACAGACTTTTCTCCCTTAGCTCTTCTAGTAGTTGTTGGTGAGAGGGTTAGTCTGATATAAATAACCTACCAGAGCCAGAAGCCTGTTTCTAATAATAAACCTAATAAAGTTTAAGATTGAATTGGTTTGCAATATTTTTTGACCTTAGATTTTTATCCCACCGGAAATATTGATTTGGATAAGTGTTCAAAATCATTTGAGACTTGTGGGCTTATTGCAGAGATAGAGCACTTGCCCGCCTGCTTGAGGCCCTAGGTTTGATCCCCAGCACCAACCAAAGAAAGAAAACCAAACTGAAGTAACGTGTGCATGTACGTGTGCATCCATGTGTGGGGTGGGAGCCAGGCCTCCGTCTCTCAGCTGTACCCCAAGCCTGGAAATAAGTATGTTCTTTGTGTGGCTATTACATTTTAAAGTCCAAGAAAGAAACTTTGTAAATTTAAAAATGAAAAGACTAAGAAATGAATTATTTCAAAACTCTTTTTTTTTTTTTTTTGGTGGAACCGGGGATTGAACTCAGGCCCATTCGCTTGCCAGGGAAGCATTTATTCTACTAAGCCATCTCCCTAGCCCCTCAAAACTCTTAAGAAAAAAGTTAAGGCTTTTAAAAATTGTGTTAACAAGACTTAAGGTACATGGAAATAAATTAAGTATAGTTTAAAGATTGGAAACTTGGCTGTAGGTAAAAAGAGGAAAACATGTTTAATAATGGCATTCTCTTATTACTCAATTATGAAATTTTGTTTTATTGAATAAAATAAAAGATATTTTAAGTCAAATTGGATTGACGAATTACCCAGTAAGTCTGAGTCTCCAAACTAAAGGCAAATGGTAAATAAAAGGGTTTGTAATTAAAAACAGGAGTTAAAATGAAGTGATAACAACTGGGAAAACTAGGTGAAGCCTGGTAACAGTATTGGGCCTGAGGGTTCTGCAGAAGGGAACAGGATTCTGACAGCACTGAACCTTGAGCTGTGCTTTCCCTGAAGGCTGCGGGCCACTTTGCCCCACTGCTTACCCCTTCCAGGGCAGCTTGCTGGCTTCGCCCTACTTAGCGAGTAGGGGGGTTTAAATGCTGACCTGTGACCTGGGAATCAGCCAGCAATTCCACAGCCCCTGCAGCCACCGCTCAAAGGCGTCACTTTGTTCTACAGCCAGACCCCCACCTGTCAGGGTGAGTGCCACACTCCTGTGTGCAGTACAGGCAAATTTTCTGTGGTTTCTTTCTTGCCTAGATGCTTGAGTGCCTCTCTCATTGTCAGGCTAGTCACTGGTGTGGCAAATGCCTATGATCTTAGCATCCTGGAAGGCTGAGGCAAGAGGATCACAGGATCAAGTCCAGCCCAGGCAATTTAGTGACTTAGCAAGACCTTGTCACACAATTTTAAAAAGCCCAGGGTTGTAGCATGGAATGAAGGTCCTGTGGTCAATGTCTAGTTCAGCTAGTATCCCAGGTCCACTGGGATCATCAGGGGTGGTGGCAGAGCCAGAGCCGGGTAGGGAGTGGCAGGAGAAACTGGAGTGGACATAAGAAGCAGCCATTGGGGAGGCTGGGCCAGCCTCGTCCATATGAGTACTCAACATTGCAGACGTTGTTTGCTATTGCACTGATAATAGATGTCAAAAGTTAAATCAACACTGGTCCCAGTGCTTATTTTTTATGATAAAAACACTGGATCTAAAAGATTCCTGGATGCTGAAAGCTGCCATGTGGCAGTAGATGTGCTGTTGAATTAATGTTTATTTATGAAATACAGTGATCATGTTTGTTGGCTGCATCTTGGCCAGTACTCTTGGCACTGGAAGAATGCTCCTCTTTAATAATTCATAGATTGAAAGGATCCAGAATTCAGATCTCTGGAATAGCTACCAGGCAAAGAAAAAAACCATGGATGCCAAGAACGGCCAGCACATCAACGAGAAGCTGCTCTTCCATGGGACAGATGCTGACTCACTGCCCCACGTGAACAGGAATGGGTTTAACCGGAGTTATGCTGGAAAGAATGGTAAGTAAACAGGGGTCGGGCTGCCCAAGGACGGGCCAGCCCTGAGGACCGCGGGGGAGCAGACACTGTGGATTTACCGGGTTCCCGCAGTGGGTGGCCAGGTCGCAGCCCAAGTTTCAGGGTAGGACTCACTGTATTTCATCCAAAAGGAGCCTGAATGGGCTGTGAGGTGGGAAATTTGACTTATAAAAATGAAACACTCACAGAATGTTTAAATCTTACCCCTTTTTTACAGGCTCCCTTGGGTCAATGTGTTAGACACTAAATTGAAATTCTTAAAAGTGTTTTGTTTTTCTCTTCACAGCTGTGGCATATGGAAAGGGAACCTATTTTGCTGTCAATGCCAATTATTCTGCACAAGACACATACTCCAGACCAGATGCACAAGGGAAAAAGCATATGTATTATGTGCGAGTACTCACTGGAATATACACAACTGGAAATAGCACACTAATTGTGCCTCCTTCAAAGAACCCTCAAAATCCTACTGATCTGTATGACACAGTCACAGACAATACGAACAACCCAAGTATATTTGTGGTATTTTATGACTACCAAGCATACCCAGAATACCTCATTACTTTTAGACGTTAACATTTTGGTTTCCTTCCTGAGAGACATCTTATATAGCCTGTTGTAAAACAAGTTTCACACCTCCCCCCAACTACTGAAAATTTTTTCTAAGATCAGCTCCTTTTTATTCTTTTTCTCCCTCATCCTTCCTTGCCTTGTTGGGAATCAAAACCAAGGCCTGGTGTCTGTAACCAAGCACTCCACCACTGAGCTACACCCTCAGCCCCAAAGAGCCTTTTTTGTCACCAAAATCAGGCTCCTCCTTGCTTCTCTTTCACGATGGAGATGAACCTATTCTGAGGACAAAAAAATTTTGAGAATTTAAATGAGAGAAGTTACAACTGTGTTTCCACACATGCATGCACGGACATCAAATCTGTGGGACAAGAGCAGGTGTATATCTTCAGGAAGGACAGAACCACAGTCCTGTGCTGGGGATGTAGCTCAGCAGCACAGCACCTGCCAGGCAAGGGCAAAGTCCTGAATTCATTTCCCAGTACAAAGGAAAAGCAATAGCCCTACAGGCAGGAGGGACACGTCACGCAGTTGTAGCTACTGCTGACACAAGTGACGGCTGGAATCATCACAGGATGGCCTCGTGCTGCAGGGAGCATGAACACCATGGCTGCCATCTTCCTGAACAAGGATGGGTCTGACTTATGCTTTTGTCCTCGTGTTGAGGTCTGTGCTTGTGACGGGGATATTCCATAAGTGTCTGATAAGTTAGTTAAGAATGCAACAGCCTGGTCAGACTGCTGTTGAGTAGGAATCCTCTCAACATCCTTGACTTATTTGCCTCCAGCTGAACGCACTGCATGACGGGAACTCCTTTCTTCACAAAGCAGACTATGTGCTAGAGCTGGACAGCTGCAACCAGGGCTCCTGGACTGCAATGCACTCGCTCCCTGCGCAGGCTGGACCTGGAGATCAGCTCACCGTCCCTGTGGCTTGTGTCCCCTGGAGCTGTGTGGCAGCCAGAAGGTCCTTTCTAATGTTAAACTCAAACCTGCTTTTGTCACTGCCAAGTGAGAACAATGGGGCAATGAATGCTACCCCTTCCATGGACACCTACTAGTGCTATGATTAATGGACTCTAAGGTTATTAAATAGCTTATTTCTGAAAAGTTAGAAGAGGAAAGAGAAAAACCGTTGTTGTAATCCAACATGGACAATGTATCTATTAACCATCATTTTAAAAAAATAAAGCGAGTAATTTCCAAAAAATCACAGAATTCCACAAACTTTTAAAACCTTGTGCATAAATAAACCAAAGGAATTAAAAGCAGTCATATAGCTAATCTGCTAATTCAATAAAGCTATTTTATTCGTACTCAGGTAAATTTCAGGTTTAGACATGACTTACTGAGGACCTAGACTGTGCCATTACACACTACACACACACAGTCCTGTTAGGTGAGAATGACACGCATTTTCAGGCTGAGGAAATATGATCAGAGCTCGACTTCTTCCTTGATGTCAATTAGGCAGGAACTGTCAGCCAGCAAGTCTGGTGGCTGCACAACAAGCCTTTGGTCCTTCAGGAGAGAACACGGGCTTCAGAGAATGTCGCTGCCTCAGGACACCTGACATAATCTGCAGAACACCTCCCCACAGTTGTTGTTGTTTTTTTTTTTTTTTTTTTCCTTCTGGCTCCTTGGTGGAGGATGTCTTTGAAATCCTGCAAGCCAGGAAGCCAGCGCTGATTCTGGGGTGAAGCCTGCGCAGAAGGCGCGCTCGAACGCTAGGGGGCGCCAGAGGACAGGCGCTCGCGCTCCCTGCCCACTGAGGACACCGGCCAGGAGTGGAACTGGCCCTGAGTAGTATGCGGGGTTCTGAAACCTTTATGCTGCTGTTTACTTATAAACGGTCTGGCCAGAAATCTTACTGGCTTAGGAGTGGCTTCCTAGCCACTGGCACCTGAATTAAGCACGGACACCAAAGGTGTGGAATTAGAAGGAAGAGAAGCTTGCTCGGATTTGCTATTCTGCAGGACGCTGGCTACATCAGGGCAAGGCTCAGTAGCGAGAGGTGTTGCATTGAGGAATAATGATCCAGTCGGTAAATACGATAGCTGTCTTTGAGCTAAAGAAATATCAAATATGTCATTTTCCTTCTTTTCAGGAAAATTACTTGAAAGTGTCACTTGGTCAAAACCATTTTTCGTCTACGAGTAAATACAAGCACGCTTAAGGATGAGCAGGCAGCCGTCACTGGGATGAAAAGTACACAAGACGGTAACGAGATAGTTAGAGTGCTCAAATTCACTGGAAATTTCAGGAAGGAGGACAGTACGGCTGGGGGGAAAACTGGCTTAGGCAAGTAGCAGGGGGCCGCTCTGAGCTGGGAAGGCTAGCTGGGCAGGCCAGAGCCAGGCGGCTGCTGTGCAGGACGCAGTGCCGGCTGCCAGGGGGGCATGTAGGCCAGACTCCAGCTGCCCTGCGTAGCTTTCGCGGGCCCTGAGGCACTAGCTCACAATCGATCTAGGCTTCTGTTGTCTCTTGCTAACCATCTGCAGGTCACAAACTGCTCCATGTAACTTGTGTGCACGTGACTTCTGTCTCAGTGGATTCAAGACAAGTTGGTAACCAGTACACAGTGGACCTGCTTCATGGTGACAGGTGTCCCGGAAGGGCCCTTTCTACAGCTTTCTTTCCCTGCACATGCTCACGCAATAGCACTCTCCCTCCTCCGAGGTTGACACCTTGGGTACAAAGACAGAAAAGAGGGCAAGTAGTCAACTCATCTCAAAAAGACTTCGTGAGTCTTCTGCTGTGCTTTCCTAATTTCTTAAATCTTGGACAGCAATGGTAATATTTATCCCCATGTTTTGCAAATGACTGAATGGATTAAATTAAGCATTTAGTTCCCCTCTTCGGAGGCAGAAGCACTATCTGATCCTTTTTAGTCCCAGGACTGGTACTCCTAGATGCCCAGTGCTTCTCACAAGAAGTGCTCATTTTAGAAGCCCAACCGCTGGCCTCCTGAGTGCTGTCTTGTTTTAGATGACAGAAATTAACTGGTGAGAATTCTGCTGGTGTTAGGCATAGGATCCCCTCAGGTCGAGGCTAGAATCCATCCACTGGATCTGTCAGATCAAACTCTCCGTGAAGGGACAGAGAGTGAATTTTTTCTTTCTTAGCTACAGTCTCTTCTCTATCTCAACTCAGCTCTATCACTGTAACCCTAAAGCTGCTCTAGGCAACCTGACATGAATGGCCCTGGTGTGTCACCACACAACTTAACTTACAAAACCAAGCAGCAGGTCAGTCCCCAGTTAACGCTGATGGAGAGATTGCTTCCTGCTTGGGAACACCAGGGGCTTGGCTGTGAATCAGGCCGAGAGGACAAGGAGGAGGGCAGGTGAACAGGAAAGAAGGCCAAGCACAATGTTCATAGAAGGTGGCAACAGACTTAAAATTAAGAACTTATGAACATGCAAATTGATGTACAGCTATTACATCTTTTATTTTAAAATCATATGTTTTATAAAGGTACTTTCAAAATGTTATTTAAAAAGTCATCGTCTAGGAGAATCACAAGCTTTTCATTTGTATCAAAAGTTGTGCCACCATCCTGGTTACTAGTGGATTCACCAAACAATCCAGCAAATCATCTGTAGAGATGAGCGCCTGAGATAGGCCTGGAGCACTACTTAAAGTAGTCTGTCCCTCGGCCACATTTCCACTTGTACTCAACACGCGTGGCCTCTGGGAGCAGCAGGATTCTGCGAAGTGTCTTCCATCTTTGTCAACCAACTCTTCACCATCATTTTCAAATATGACACCTCTTTCTGAAGGGGGATTTTCAGGACTTGGTGGTACAGGGAACAGATCAGGGCCAAAGAGCCTCTCTGCATCCTGCCTTCCAGCTCCCAGACTTCCATCCTGGCTGTGTGTCTGGCCCACTTCCATGTGGCTGAACATGTGTAATCCTTTCGTCTCCACGTTCTCCCCATTTATTTTCAGGGCTTGAATTTCTGCTGCCTTGGGGGTTCTGTCATGATTGAAAAAGGCAGAAAGAGCTCCATTTAAGTAGTGACAGTTGACTTCATGGGATGTTGCCTCAACCTAAGGGAAAACAAACATTCTTCAGAATGCTTGTACACATTGAGTTAAGGCTGAAGCAAAAGCTCAAGTTGGGGAAGCTTTGCCACAAGAAGCAACCAGTCATGATAAAACCAGAATACCTCGGTGGGGTTTAACCAAGCTCGGGTATTGTGTGGATCCTCAGACATTTTCAGGGCACACACGACCATACGAGTGATTCCCTCTTCTACTCGGGCTAGGTGGTCCTCTTCCTAAATTGGGATTTAAAAAGAAGAAACACTTTTTTTTTTTCTTTTTTGGTAGAACCGGGGATTGAACTCAGACCCTCAACCTTGCCAGGGAAGCGCATATTCTACTGAGTCATCTTCCTGGCCCAAAGATACACTTTTAACATTTGTCTTCATATTCCATGGATCAAAACATACAACTGTGTTTCTTTTGATTGTGTATCCCATTCAATAATATATACTTTGTTATAGGAGGAATAAGTAAGCTATGGGCAGAATAATTTTTATGTATCGAATATTTCACTAATCATATTGAATATGCATTTTATCTATATAACACAGCCCTGAAGTATGAACCACCTTGTGATTTTTTTTCCCAATCTTCTCCATTCTTTGAAATGTTAAAGTTTTATTTTTATTTTTAAATTTTTTTCTGTATTTAGGACGGGGTCTACAGGGTCCCACTAAATAGATCTGACTGATAGTGATTCTCCTGTTTTCAGCCTCTCAAATGCTGAGATTACAAGTGTGTGCCACCATGCCCAGTCTTAAGTGCCATCTCAGCGTGCCCCACGGGCGGGGCGGTCATAGCATGCCAGGGATCAAACCCCAGCACTGTGCTCTGCCTAAGCAGGCACTTTAGTCTGCTGAGCTATGAGGCTGGCCCCAAAATGTTTAAAGTTTTAAAAAGTACCATATACACAGAGGAGTAATCCTTACAGAGTTTGGAAAGCAACTTATTATTTATTTATTTTGTGTGTGTATGTGTGTGTGTGTGTGTGTGTGTGTAGGGTCTCACTATACAGCTCAGACTGGTAGTGATCCTCCTGTTTTCAGCCTCCCTAGTGCTGGGATTACAGGCGTACACCACCATGCCTGACTCTACTGCTGGCTTAAGGCACCTGGGGGCAGGGCTGGTGAGGCATGGGATGCCAGGGATAGAACCTTGGCCCCTGTGCTTACCTAAGCAAGCAGTTAGTCTGCTGAACTATCTCACCAGACCTTGGAAAGCAACTTATTTAAAGGGGGGAAAATTATAGTAAATATGCTTGGCTACAACAATGAGGAAGCTACACATGGCTCTCTTAAGTAAGCATGAACTGTAGCACTAATGATAAATGACATTAAAATCAACAACTATTAATCAAAGAACACAAGGAAATAAACTGTAACAAAGTTAAAAACTAACAAACATAATTGATAAAAGATTAATATCCAGAATAAAGGATCTGAGCATATCAATAAGACAAATGACCTAATTTTGGTAACACAAACACAGACTAGCAGCTCAGAAGAGCAGTTATCTAACAAATATAGGAAAATGCTTATCCTCCAGGAAAATGCAAATTGAGAAACTCATGAAACTGGCAAAAGAGGGTTTGTTAATATCATCAAGTCATGGAGAAATGTGGATTGGCCGACAAAAGTCTTACTAATGGTGGCAAACTCCTAGAGCTATTTGGAGACATGCCAGCATTATTTCACACTGTACACCCTGCAGACTGGCAACACCATTCCCACACCTCTGCATTGTCCCTTGAGAAAGTCCTGCATACATGTGCCAGGAAACATGCACAAGAATATTGTTCATGAAAACAAAAACTTGGAAACAATTATCCACCAACAGAAAGATAACTAAACTGTATACCTTAACAAAAGAAAATACCACAGTGAAAACAAAGAAAAAGCTCTATGTGATGACACAGTGAACCTCAGAAGCAGTTTTGAATTAAGAAAAGCAAAGATAAGACACTATGATAGCTATAAATCAAAAGGACAGACATTAACAAGTGGGGAGAATGTGGAGGAGTCAGAACCCTTACAAAGGACTGGTGGGTTGTAAGAAAGACAGTGTGGCTGCTTTGGAAAACAGCCTGCGCGCTTCCCACACAGGTTAAAGAGAACCGATGCACGTGCTAATTAACTTTGCATCCAGCTGAGTACCTAGATGCTTGGTCAAACACTAGTCCAGATACTGCTTTGCAGGTGAAGATGTTATTAGCATTTATTATCTGTTGATTCTAAATAAAGGACAATAACATGAGTAGTCATCATCCAATCAGTTAAAGGCCTTAAAAACACACATTGAGGTTTCCCAGAGAAGGAATTCTGCCTGAAGACTGGAACAGAAGCCCTAAATGAGTCTCTAGGCCATCAGTCTGGAGTTTGTCACCATGAATGCTACAGATTTCAGACTCTAGACTTCAACTCTCACCTAAATTTCCAGCTTCCCATTCTCCCTGACAAATGTCAATGGGCCAGCCTCTACAATCAAGTAAGCCAATTCCCTACAGTGTATCTCAATCTCTTGCTCCCTGTGGTAAGTAGATGCACAAATAAAGATATGTATCTCTAGGAAAAGATCCTACCTATCTAGGAAGATAGCTATTATCTTTTCCTAAATAGAGACAGATCTTTATCTCTGTATCTGTAATATGTAAATATAGGTAACTATGTATACTTAAGAATGGAATTGCTGCATCAAATGGAGTATGAGGGGATGTTCATCATAGAAAAAGAAGCAATAGAAGATATAGTTTGCTGTTGATACACCATGTATGACTGGCTTCATCATACACTGTAAGACTTGTCCATGTAGTACCATGTGCAGGTACTTCCTTCTAATGCCTTAAAAATATCCCACTGTAGGGCCGGGGAGATAGCTCAGTAGAATAAGCACTTGCCTGGCAAGCGCTAGGGCCTGAGTTTAATCCTTGGTTCTGCAAAAACAAAAACAAAAACAAAACCCCCAAAAACCCATCCCATTGCATACACACACCACAGTGTGCTTATGCGCTCAGCAGTTGCTTGTGCTGGCTGTTATGAGTGATGCTACTGTGAATGCTGTGCACATATTTGTGTGGATATGGTTTCCTTTCTCCTGGGTAGGTATCTAGGAATGGAATTACGGTGCCACATGGCTTATCAGGCAGTGTTCTCCAGAGGAAGAGAACAAACAGAACACATGTGTGGCTGTACGGGAGACAAAATGGTTTTTGTTTTAAGTTTAAGAATGAAGATAGTGAAGAGAACAGACAGAGCAATGGGTTCGGAAGAGTGCATTCAGCTTTTTCCTCAGAGAGTCACCAAAGAATTCTCTCAAGAGTGAAGAACAAGACAAGCATGCCTACTCTGGCCATTAGTTACCAGCCATTGTCATTAGACAAAAAAAGTCAACCACAGGCAATCAAATTGGAAAGGAAAAGGTAAAATGACCCTAATTTTCTGGTAACCTGAAAGAAATCTGAAATACAAGAAAAACAATAAAAATTACAACAAAATAATTCAAATTAACACAAAAAATCACAGCTTTCCTATATCTTAACAATATGAAGTCAGAAGACAAGGGAAAAAATCCTACTCATTTCAGCAGCAAAAAAGATGAAATAGAAATAAAATTTAAAAAGCAATGTACAATAAACTAAAAACAAATTCCACTCAATTCAGCTATGCCACATTTTGGTATTTTTCTAAATGATTTAAAGATCATTCTACAGTAACACATGCACGTATGTGTTTATGGCAACACGACTCCCAATAGCTAAGTCATGGACACAGCCTTATGCTCATCAGTGCATGAATGGACAAGGAAATTGGAATTCACACCCCGTGGAGAAGTACTCTGCCACAAAAGGTAGACTTGTGTCCCTTGTAGGAACAAGTTTGCACCTTCAGACCGTAATGATAAATAAATCTGGTGACACACAAGCTCAAATATTGCACATTTTCTCTTACATGAGAAATCCAAAATATAAAGAGCACAGTAAAAGACAGCTAATAAGCAGCTAATAGGGAGATAGCTCTTTCTCAAGTGGAAGGGGGATCGAGAGATGGAGGTGATGGGAGAGCGAAGAGGGAGAGGCGACGAAAAAAGGAATCAAGACGAGGCATGCACACACACCAGCTCCACGCAGGCACCCAAGGACTGAATATTATGTACGGAAAAAAAAAAGAGGAAATGTGCAAAGCTCAATGAGGAACACTTGAAAGCACTCCTATAATAAAGGAAACAGGACTCGGACAGTGGGAAATCACCTCATTCTTGGAAAGGACGATTCAGCATCATAAAGTTCATATAAAATTTAATATAGGGTGAATGAAAATACTAGTAGGCTTTTCCCTGAAGCTAGACAAGTTGATTTTAAAGGTCACATAAAGCATAAATGCAGGAATAGCTAGGGAAACACTTCTAAAGAAAAGCAGTGACAGAGGTTAGTCCTTCTGATAGTAAAGCTCTGCTTTAGGATTTCTCTAAATAAAGCAGGGTGCAGCTGGGTGGGGAGGTGGCTCGTGCCTGTGATCCCAGCATTCTGGAGCCCAGCCAACTACATTTTAGGAAGACCCTGTCTCAAAAAAAAAAAAAAAATCAAGAGCTGGGGATGTACCCCAATGTGTAGTTTCTGGATTCAATTCCCAGGGTTAGAAAGAAGAAAGAGGAAAAAAAAAATAGCATGTAAGTGATAAAAGCTAGACAGAAAGACCAGTGGAAGAAATACAGACAGATATGTATATTTAATACAGCATAAAATATAGTATATGATTAATATGATTTTGACACACTAAAGCAAAACAGGCTTTAAAACAAATGACACCTCTGACAACTGTGTTATTATTAAAAAAAAAAAAAAACCCACATAACTAGATCTTAACCATATGCCACACATGAGGAAAAATTTCCAAATGAGAAAGAGATCTAAATGGAAAAAAAAAGTGTTTAACAAACTCACTCTAAAAAGAAACACTGGTGAATTCTTCACCAGTGAAGAATTGACCTAAAAAAGAGGGAAAGTCTTTCTATGACTCAAAATTGAAACCGCAAGACTCTGACAGTGCCTTCTGTTGGGCAGTTGTAAAAAGAACAGCCTCCCCGTGTGTGCTGCTCAGGCCACTGCAAAAGGACCACAGAGGGAGGGTGGAGTGGAATCTGGTGACAGCTGACCAAGTTAAAGCTACCCTTACCCTGCGGCCTGGCAAAGCCACGTCTAAGAATCTCCCCCAGTGACACACTTCAGTAAGTATAAAACAATGCAGAGGGCTGGCGAGATAGCTCAGGCAAGCGCTAGGACTGGGGTTCGATCCCTGGCACCACAACTGGCACTGGTCCCACCCCAGTTGGTGGCTCATGCCTGTAATCCCAGTATGGGGGAGGCTGAAATGGGAGGGCCACTACGAGTCCAAGCTACATAGTAAGACCCTATACCAAATACATTAAAAAACAAACAAACAAAAAATGCACATGCAAGGCTGTTTCACTGGCACTGTTTGTGATGGCAAAATACTGAAAACAATCCAAATACCCTGGAGGACTCCTATAATATGTTTAAAAAAATATGGCAGTGAACCCTATAGTTTATTACTTTGTAAGAAAGAAGAGTAAACATGAAAGAATATCTATCAATAACACACACACACACACACATATATATAATTCATTTACTTATTTTTGTATCTACCTGTTTAGTCCGAAAGCCTCACTAGAATTATCAACTAATTAGTAAGGAATAAAAACAGATCCTCATGAACACTGGCAGGAATTAGGTGGAGTGACAGGCGAAAAGGTACTTCTCTAAACACACCTTTTATAGAGTTTTAACAGATTACATTTTTATATATTCAAAATATTAAATTAGATTGAAAATGAATAAGTCATTAAATCCTAAAATTTAAAACTAAAATAGAAAGAAATGAACCCAAATATGAAGTTAGTAATATTCCTTTACAATGACTTCTCTTTGGGAGTGGGTAGGAGGATTGAATCCAGAGAATGCAAAACCACATCTTCAGTCCTTTTTTTTTTTCCAAAAGTCTTGCTACAACTGCCTGGGCTGGCCTCAACTTGTGATTCTCCTGCCTCAGTCTTCAGAGTAGCTGGAAGTACAGATATGCACCACTGTGACCACCTTTTTTTTTTTTTTTTTGTATTTAGTACAGGGTCTGCAGGGTCTCACTACATAGATTGGACTCGTAATGATTCTCCTGTTTTCATCTTCCCAAGTGCTGAGATTAGAGGTGCATGCCACCATGCCCAGTCTCAGTCGCCATCTCAGCGCACCCCGGGAGTGGGGCTGGCATGGCAGGCTGGGGATTGAGCCTCTATCCCCTGCTTTTGCCTAAGCAGGTGCTTTAATCCATTGAGCTATCTGGCCAGGCCTGTCCACCTTTTTATGATTTGTGAACAAAGTATTCTATACCTCCCTCTTTAGTGGGATATAATATAATGATAAAAAGGACTGCAAAGAAATCTTCAAATTTACTTGGAAACTTTATAGCTAGTGGTTATTATCAGTATTAGAATTTCAATCATAAATTTGACATCTTAAAAAAAAAATATTGTTAGATATGACCAGGCATGGTGGCACGTGCCTATAATCCCAACACTCAGGAGGTTGAGGCAGGAAGATTGTTGTGAGTTTGAGGCCAGCCTGGGCTACAGAGAGCTCAAGAACAGCCAAGACTACATAGTGAGGCCCTGCCTCGAAAAACAAAACAAATATATCCATATTTTCAGTTAGAGATTAACACAGAACAATTTAAAACCCTTACATTAAAACTGAATTAAAAATATAAATACAGCAATACTCTGTCATCCATTCATCTGTTTCACAGTCTAGCTACATCACTGAAGAACTTACAACTTGTGGCAATGAGCTGTCTCAGAGCCCACCCTTCACTTTCTGATCACCATTCTCCACCCAAAAGAACCGTGGCTGCCACGGAAAGACTGCTTCCAAGTCTGGAGCACAGAAAGTACAAGGGGACCCGGGGTGGCCTGTAGTGTGACAGGGCAAGGACACACTTAAAAATAGCCAGTGTGAAGGGACTCTACTAAGACACAGATGAGACTAATTAAAAATTACCTGACAAAATGGAAAGTTTACCCGAACAACATGACGAAAATCAACAGGGATGGCTGTAGAGTGCTGTACTCAGGCCTAAGGAATCAGCTTTACTAATATAAGATGGGACAACCTGACACAATAGCTGAACATGTGAAAAAAACAGGGATTTTGGGGCTGGTGAGATAGCTTAGCAGACTAAAGTGCCTGCTTAGGCAAGTACAGAGACCCCAATGCAGGCTGAGCCAGCCGGAGTCTGGCGTGGTGGTGCATGCCTGTAATTCCAGCGCTGGCTGAAAAGCAGAAGATCACCACTAGTCCAAGCTGCATAGTGAGACCCTGAAACAACCAAATACCTTACAACAAAACAAAACAAAACCAACAACAAAAAAGCCCCATGGACTTTTTCTTTTGGGGAGGGTGGCTACTGAGAATCAAACTCAGGACCTCATGCTTGCCGGGCAGGTGCTGCATCATCTGACCTGCCCCCAAAACATGGACGTTCTAAAGCTGAATAGGAACCTAAAGTGAAATCAGGTTTCTAACAAAGCTAATAATGCGATTCTACAAGCGGCACTGAAGAGGGTGATGCTCAAAGCCATGTAAGGCAGAAATTCTATGCTCCACATGCAGCTCACTGGTATCCAGTGTGAGGTGCTGTGCAGAGAGGACCACTCTGGACACAAGCCACTGCCCTCCTTGCCTTCTCACTGCAGTTTCAGTTTCTAAACACTTCCTGTGTACCAGGCGTGACAGTGGGTGCTTTTACATCTACTGTTGAATTTAAGCCTCACAACAACCCTCCTGAGCTGGGTTCAGGTATGATCCTCCTTTTACAAGTGAGAAACTGAGGCTTGACAAGATTAAGGACCACTTGGCCGGATCATAAAGGTAACCATGACTTAAGTCCTCCAATTCTGAGTCCATGACCAAGACAGTGAAGAGTGTGGGGACAGGAGGAAGTCACACTTCCTCCTGAAGAAAACTAAGAAACTAAGAAGAAATTAAGGAAGTGAGTTGAAACTTGAAGAAACCAAGAGGCCGTGTGCTTGGAAAAACAGAGTAAGGGCCCACATGGCAGAAAGCTTCAAATACTTAAGAGAGAAGAAAAGATGTTCGGTTTTAGAAGTAATGGCTGGGCTACATGCAGGCAGATGACAGCACGACTGTTCAGCACCCATGAGCTCACTGGGTGGGTGGGTGATGGGAGCATCTGCCAGCGCTACTGTGGATGTGACTCTGGCACTGGCAGTGGGAGGGGCTCCGTGGACTCCATCTCAGCAGCAGCTGCAGCTCCACATCAGCCTGTTGCAAGCAGCATTTCTGTGAGTCTACCGACCTCCCACACACTCTCACCTACACCCAAAGGCTTCGCCTCCTCTATTCTCTGGGTGCACACTTACAGCGTCATTTTAATACTCATGTTATTTCACCTACTCCAAATCCCTTCCCATGAACAGCACAGGAAGCACTTGACTAGGGGGGGGGGTTTGTGTGTGTGTGTGTGTGTGTGTGTGTGTGTGTGTGTGTGTATAGCTGCCAAAGAGTGCAGAGAGATGCTTGGGTTAAGGAGAGCAGAGATGCAGCCAGGGTCTGGGGCTAATGGGGGTATGAGTATACTCCAGGCCCTTGGTTAAAGTGACAGACATGGCCATAATAGCAACTGTAACTGCCAAACAGAGCAGGCAGCCACAATTAGGCACAGTGTATTGGGGGAAAGGTTTCTGGAAGACATAAATGATGCCAACCAAGTGCTGTGAGAAAATGTATAAGGCAAGAATGAGAATTATGCAACTACCCATGAGGACCCTGAACCAGGAAGGCAGTCCAGTGGATCCTTGACTTACTAACTCACTGCCTTTCCAAGGGCTGGTTATAACTCAAGCTGTTAACTAAAGGCTCAGGCTCCTCTATACAGCCTTTAAATCTCACCTATATACAGGCAGGTCTCAGGGTCCTAAGAGAGACATTAGCCCAGGATTTCTCAACTAACCCCATATAGGAAAGGATGCTTTAATGTTCCTTCCAGAAGTTTTTAAAGGGTAAATCTATAACTGAGACCATCCGGAAGCACAAGCGGCCAGCATTCTGTAACAACCCAATACGGTGGTCATAAAACTGAAAAGCTGGCCATAACTCAAATTGTGTGCATATCAGGCTGATCGTAACTTGAGGGTCCACTGTATTTCTAGTCTAGATGGTATGAAACAGAACTGGCAGCACAAGGCAGATAGATCCAGCCAGATTCCAAGTTTTCCTAATAACAGTGGCCAAGGGAGTGGACCTGGCACTCAATGTCAAGGGCCACTGCATGCTTTTTGCTTTGTTTCTTTGAGACAGGGTCTTGCTATATAGCTCAGGCTGGCTCTGAACTCACTATGTGGCCCAGGCTAGCCTTGAACTCAGTGACTGTCCTGCCTCAGCCATCCAAGTACAGGGAATACTGACATATGCCACCATGCCAGACCTGTATGTCCTTTAAAGAAAGAGCGCACATCTCTAAACACTCCATTTCCAACCTAACTGTGCATCAGCAGAGGAAAACATCATAGTACAGAAAAACAATGTCATTGTAGGGTGTTGATTAAAGAAAATCACCAAATTTAATAGACAGGCTTTGGGCATCTTAAAAGGACCTAATTTATGTTTAAAAGGAAAGTAACCAAAACATACCAGCTCAATCCATGAGTTTATACTGACGGTGACAGGGTCAATCGATTCCACATAATGCCACCAATGTCTAGGAACAAACAGGACCTGAAAATAAAGTGAAAAAAATAGACAACAGTAGGACACATCATTTTTATGTCAGAGGAAGAGTCCCATTGAAGTTGCCAGGAAAAAATAATACAATGAATTAAAAATAATAGCACTGAAAGAAAGGGAAACAAAAAAAAATTCTATAATCTTTTTTCTCATTTTATTGATGAATACACATGCTTTAGAAGATTCTGCCATCTCCTCTATTCTTCTTAATCTTGGGCCTTCTCTATCTACATTTAAATTGTAGCCAAGACTTTTGAGAGTCTAAGTTTTCCCGTATCTTATCACAAAACAACTCTACGGATTCTGAGAAGTGGCACACACAAAAATGGAGAACACAGTTTCTGTCCTTTCACAGTGAGAAGACAAGGTACAGGAAGGGCATTACACAGTGTCAAAGGAGACACTCTCAGTGTTGGAGGACTTCTGGGTGGGAGACGCAGGCCTGAGCCAGGGGTCCGGGGTAACCTGGAGAGAGGAAGCATGATTTGAATGAGGCCAGGAGAGAAGTTAGAGAGAAGAGACCATGTTGCAGGAGAGTTGGCAGAGACTGAGTAGGTGAAGCTGTTGAGGGAAGGTAGCAAGTTAGCTGGTATTGGAGAGAATCATGGGATGTAGGCTGAGCGGAGGACCCTGAATTCAGTGAAGAACGTGGATTTTATCCTGGAGGCACAGAATCATCGAGAAATTCTGAGCAGGATATTTAAAACTGACATTAAGAGAGACGGGGCAGGGCCAGGGAGATGGTTCAGTTGAATAAGCGCTTCCCTGGCAAGCACAGGGCCTGAGCTCAATCCCCAGTTCCCCCAAAACAAATAAAAATAAAAAAAAGAGAGACAGGGGAGCATATGAGATCCTTGCAATGGTCCTTTCCACGAATGTTAAGCTCTAAGTAGGAAGGTTTATTAGATACAAGCATGGGGCAGGGGCGAGGACGGCACCCATGCAGACTTGGTACCAGGTCAGCAAATGGAGATGATCTGAAGCTTTGGATTTAGGAAACAGGTGGCATGTGCTCTGCCGGGGCCAGGCTGGAGGTAGGAGGTCTCCTGGGGGGGGAAATTAGCACTAAAAGGGCCATGGGTTTAGTCACCAAGAGGTTGCTATGGTTTGGAGTGATTCTGAAAGGCTGCATGTTGGAAGTTTGGTTGCTAGGCTGAGGCATGCCAGAGATGCTGCACTGACGCTGTCCCAAGGCATAGGGCCAAGCAAGCACTGACTGAAAACCCTGAAACCATGAGCCCAAATAAATCTTTTCTGTTATTAAGCTGACCTTCTCAGGCATTCTGTCACAGTGGCAGAACACTAACACTGAAGTCATGAGTGTCCTACTGAACAGTACAATTTCAATAAAATGGTGAGAAGCAGAAAACTGTATTGTGTTGGGTCAAGGAATGAACAAGATGTAAAAACATAGACAAAATAGATCATCCAAAGTTGGCCATTAAAAATGGAAGAAAAAATGAACTAGCATCCAGTTCATATCCATTAGAATGACTATGAGAATTATAATAATAAACATGTAAAGATGGGTAAGATGTAAAGAAATTGGAACCCTCATATATTAGTGGTGGGAATGTAAAATGGAATAGCTACTGTGGAAAAGAGTTTGGAAATTTCTCAAAAAATGTTAAATACAGTTATCAGATGACTTACCAATTCCACTTATACCCCAAACCTGAAAATATGTATTTAATCAAAAGCTTGATTGAACATGAATATTCACAACAGTATCTTTCACAATAGCTAAGAAGTGTAAACACCCCAATGCCTATCATCTGAAGCATGGATAAACACATATAGTTTATCTATATTAAGGAATCTATAAAAAGGATGAAGTGCTGATCACATTCTACAACAGACAGCCCTTAGCAACAATATGCTCTATAGAAGACACGAGAGACCATGTACTGTACGGCTGCACTTGCATTAAATGTCCAGAACAGACAAATGGATGGAGACAGAAAATAAATTAGGGGGTATAGGGGCTTAGGAGGAGAGGTGAATGGGGAGTGACTGCTAAATGGGTGAGGCAACTTGGTCAAGTAAACTGTGGAGCTGGTAGTGAGGGGTGTGAATGGAGCCAGGGCAAGAGGGCAGGAAGGCAGGCAGCGGAGAGGGGTAAGCAAGGGAATGCAGTCTGCCCCAAAGAACAAAAATCTTTCAACTGCTAACAAACTATCAGACAACATATGCCAATTTGCAATGGAGATTTCCCTCTCTGGGTAGCAGCAGTAAGCATAATACCTTTGCAACTGTTTCAGACATAGTTACCCATTCTTGCTCAAAGGCAAAACATTTCTCTCCAGCCTGCCTCTGGCGGCCACTACATACATGCATCGCAGCCTGCATCTGTGTCTGGGCTCTGTTCCAGCCTATCTGAACATTTCCTAACTGTGATACATGTTCTGGAGACGCTGCAGTAGCCAGGCCTGTTGCTCTCTCTTAACCTCCAAGAAGGGAGCCCTGTGGGTGCTTCTCATCTTTTGAGGTCTCTTCACCCACAGAAGCTGAGTTCCCTCTTCTTATCTCCTTTCCAGGAACTGTGCACACAGCTGGGGAGGCCATCCCCGGTAGCAGAGCAGGGGGAAGGACACTATTCTCATTTATCCTGAGGGGGAAGTACATGGCATAAAGGGATCTCAGGGAGATGTAGCTGTGCTTCCAAGGACAGCGACGTTGTAAAGCCATCATTACCTGTCTTGGGCTCAGTGTGACCGTATGCCTTCGAGCTTTCCGAAACTGAGGAAAATGCTTTAAATCAGGACTGACAACATTGACTTTACTGAATACACTGGATTCTTCATAAGGGATTCTAGTTGGATACAGGAAAGGTGTATCTTCAGGAGGAAAGAGATGCCATCTTTTCCTGATAAAAAAATAGATGGAAGTTAGTACTCCAAACTTGGGATGAAACATACATGAAGGTAGCACCTAAGTACTCAATTTTACTCATTTAAATTCAATCCCTAGAAAAACACAGGAGCCACCTGGTCATCATGGCCTCTCATTCAATGCTGGAATCACCTGAGCAGACCTCTAGTGGGTGACTCAGGACACCCTCAAGTAGTACTTCCGTCACTAGAGCTGGACCCAGTCTGTATAGTCAGTCTTTCATTTCTTTCAAGTCAAAGATTGTCCCCTCATACACTGTTTCTTCCTGATTCTAGAGCTACCCAGAATAAGCCCCATCCTTTTAAGTATCTGCCTTCATATTCAGAATACAGGGATAGTTTCATCTATCAAATAGCATCCAGACTGCTTGGCTGCATTACACATTTTTTAACTTAAACATCTGTTAAAGAGAATCTGTTAAGAGAAATGTATACACAATGCCAGATAACTAAAAAAGAATATGATATAGAGGTATCCAAAGGAGAAAAGTGAAATGTTTTAATGCATTAAAAATGTTTTGAAAAATGGAAGTAATAAATCTTAATTCACAAACACGAGACACATTTGCACTTTATGCCAACAGAGAGGGAGGTCATCTGGGGCAAAACTGGGAGAAATGTGGAGAGTCACATGGGAAGTTGGAGAGGGGGAGCAAAGAGAAAAAGAGAAACAAGCTGCAGTTCTGAAGCAGAAGTCCCACAACCCTTCTGTGACCTCTGGCATTTACATTGGGATCCCAAGTCTTTTCAGAACTGGGGAGATACAACTGCTATTTTCAAACTAAGAATTTTATGCCAAAGTCTTATTTCGCTTTGGAAACTGGAAGGTTTTTATAGAAATAACAAGACATTTTATCTTCACTCTGGGAGACTGAGGCAATTTAGTGACTTAGTGAGACTGTCTCAAGAAAAGGAGATGGAGCAAAGTACAAAAGCCTCAGGCTCAACCCTTGGTACCACAAAAACAGAACAGAAAATGGTCTTAGTTACTTTTCTTGTTGCTGACACAAAATACCCACATCCAAAATGAAAGGAGAAAAAGTTCATTTTGGCTCATAGTTTGTAGACATTTTAGTCTAGTCAGCTGGGTGACTAGGGCAGAGGAGAAATAGTCCATGGTAAGCAGGGGAGGTAGAAGGCAGCAGCAGCAATCAACACAGCAGCAGCATTCGCCTGCTTTTCCCCTTTATCCCTTCTAGGCTTCTTTCCTTTTTATTGCAACCCACACCCAAGGAAGGACACCCTCAATCCCAGCATCACACTCTTAACCTGAACATCATACACCCAATATCCAGCCACCTCCAAACAAATGCAACTATGATCGCCTGAGACTTTGCAGGTACATCTAGATACAAGCCAACACACACACACACACACACACACACACACACACACACACACCACCTCTCCCCTCCTCCCCCCACATGCAAAGTCCTTTATTTTATAGAAATTCACTTTGAAACTATGTAGAATCTATCAGTTTACATAGTCATCAGCTAACAAGCCTTGAAATTTAAAAGCAGACAGCTTCACCTCAAAGCTTAGAGGTGATAAGACAACTCCATTACACTGTACCTATAGTTAGGTGGGAATCCAGGCCTGGAGAGACTCTGAGAAGATACTCATCCCAGTTCATTTCCAAAGTGGTGGCAAAATCCTAATGCCTGCTCAGTGTCACTCACTGGGTCCCACTGAGCAGGGGACACAACTCCAAGCTTCTCCAGATCCTGGCTCCATCCCCTGCACCACAGCAGTGCTTCCCAAAGGAACAGCCATAACCATAGCCATCCCCTATGATCTGCTGTGCTCTGTTTCAAATCTTCAGTGTGTTTGCTTGTGTCAGAAAAAGTACTCATTCATTGCACAGTCTTTGCAAAACCCTTTGTGGTCCTGTACCCTGAAAGAACAGAACAAGCAGTGTGTGCTCAGGAGTGGAGAGCCTCAGGCCCCGGCCACCTTTCCTACCTGATCCCTCTCTCCTGGGTGCACAACTCACACCAGACTTTCCCCAGGGTCCTCTGCACACCCTACCACACCAGTCTAAGTCCTTGGAACACTTATACCCTTCAAGGTCCACCTTGCATGGCAGTTCTTCTATGAAACCCTCTTTAATCTTTCTAACAGGAAGCTCCAGCCTGCTGTGAGCTCTACTTCAATAACACTGATGTGTGCTCTATCCCAGCTGGCAGGGGGCCTACCTGAGCCTAAGCTGCATGTGTTCTTAGAGGGCCGAGCACATCTTATCAGCTGCTTCTGCACCTACTCTACCATGTGGTACTGGCTTAGGAGGTACAATGGCTATTTACTGAGTTTACTGCACTGCTCTGGAAAAATCTATTACACAGTTAGAACAAAGCTATATTAACTTCACATCACAGAAGGAACTCTGGGTACTCTGGGTAATGTTCTTCCAAAGTGAGTGAGTTTCTTTGGCTTGTTCCCCAATTCAGAACACATGGAAAGGGCCATATAAAAGCACGACCTTTCTTACCATCTCTCAGGTTTCTCTCTCAATCAGTCTCTCCCCCCCCCCACATCCCCCTGATGCCAGGAACTGAACCAAGGATCTTTGCTCTAAGCTACAACCCCAGTTTTTATTTCACTTTGAGGCAGGGTCACACTGTTGCCCAGGCTGGCTGTAAATCTGTGATCTTCCTGCTTTGTGGTTTCAGAATCTGAATCTATAAGGGCAGAGTCCACACACACTCCCTTCACTGTTGCACTCACAGCATGCAGTGGGGGGCCTGAGATGTTTTCAGCCTTTTAACAGCCTTGACGGCTCCAATGGCAGCTCTCTGGTACCATTCTGTAGTTCTCAGCACTTCACAGGAGCAAGAGTTCATACACAGACTACTGCTTCTCTTGGATCTACTCATGGTTTCTCTAATGACTCATTTGAACCTGCATTTGGACGTTTTTGGGTTTCCCTCTATGCTGCCCTGCAAAAGGCCCAAAAGGCCAGGAGAGAAGACTGAGGTATTATCAACTCAGGGAGATAAGGCTGCACACACATCTGGTACATCCTTCAGGGGGCACAAACCTTATTGTTATGGTTTGTGTCTAAGTGTCCCTCTAAGCCTCATGCAGTCATGCAGTGGCTTCTGGAGTTTGTGACTTATTAGTGTGGGTGTGGATGCTTCACCTGCCCTGGGGCAGGTAATGGGCATTACCATGTAAGGAGGGGACAGAGGCTAGCCAGGTGCCTGAGCTGCCACCACTCCCTTTTGTTCTCTGCTCTTTGCCACTGCCATGTGCCACTCTGCCTTGGAGCCAGCTGAGTATGGACCGAACTCTCCACTAATCATGAGCTAAATAAACCTTTTCTGCCTTCATTTTGGGTGTTGGGTATTTGTCCTGGCAATGAGAGAAGAGTCACTGAGACACTTACGCTCTCACTGAACTCTACGAGTTGCGTGCTACCAAAAGTATCACCACTGTGACCTTTATACTCCTGAGGGTCCAAAGAGAGATGGAGAGAAAAACTGACCTGAGGTACTAATATGTGATACTGTGTCTACTAGCAGGTCAAAAAGGATCATAAAAGCCATGTGGTCCAGCTCCCTCCACCATCGCCCCAAGAATTTAAGAGATTGGACCTGCTCACTGGTGTGTATGGATATATGCATGCATTTATTTACTTACAGACAGGTTCTTACTATGTAATCCAGGCTGGCTTGAACTCACTATGTAATCCAGGTGGGACTCAACCTCATAGAGAGTCCTGTCCCAGGCTCCTGAGTGGGATTATAGGTATGCACCCCCTGCTCTTATTTACTGAGAGCTGAAGAAAGGGTACTGTGCTTTGAAGAAAAGTCTGAATACTACATATATAGGATGGTATCTATTTTTATGTAAAAAAGTTCAACAGAGCTACAGCTGATCTGGGAACTCAGATGACAATCTTGATCGTGGCTGAGACACACGGAAATCACCAATTCAACTGTTCCTCTTGCTTCACAAAAGGGGAAACAGTGGGCAGGTGAGAGGTCTGCCCTGGGACCTGAGGTCTGGAGTTCCGACTTGATGTCCAGGTCTCATGCACGCACATGCACCAGTGCACACAAACAACCCATGTACATTACCTTCCTTGCACCTGGAAGACTAAGTTACAACCATAGGTGTCCAGATGACAGGGGGTATGTGCGCCCAGGGAGCCGATCCACAATGTACTTTCCTGGCCATTTCTCCCAGGAAACCCGAAGTCAGACCACAGCACGTCCTGTTTTAGAATACAACAACAGCCCATCAAGAACCAATGAACTCCTTCCTCTGTATGGCAGTCTCATATGGCACTGAGATACTCTATAACTGAAAATGCTACAGATGGAGAAGGTTAGGTTTCCAGGGCAGCTGCAAGAAATGTTTTCGAGTCACACCATGTGAGAATAACCTCATTAACAGTAGTCATTCAACAATTTTTTACTGGCTACTTAACACATGCTAGCATCTGCTGTAGGAGCTTGTGATGAATCAGTGAATAAAATGGAGAAACGCCCACCTAGATGAAGCCTACATCTGCTAGGGACAGACAATAAATAGGACACAATTATGCAGCTATCAGGGGAAAAGTATCTGTGGCAGTGAGAAGTGTGAGTGCAGGAAATCTCTCTGAAGCTCAAGTTAGGAAGCCAGAAAGTCATCATCCCTTTAAGCAGGATCAATACTATGAGCCCACATATCCTATTAACCTTTGGTACTTCAAAGACTACATAAAAGAAGCCCTTTTGAGCTAGTCGTGGTGCTGGACACCTATCATCCATGGAGGCTTAGATGGGAAGACTGCAAGTTTGAGACCTGCCTGCGCATCTTAGTGAAACCCCACCTCAAAACAAAAACTAAAAAGGGTTGGAGATGTAGGTCTGGTCAATCCCCAGTACTACTGTGCACGAGCACATGCACACACATACACCCCCTCTCCTAGATGAGCGGAGTTATTTGAGATTGCTGCTGCTAGAGCCTTGGCCTATACCTACTAAGCTAGAAGGGAAGGATACAACAGCTCTGAAATGCACATACTCCCTCAGTATGAACTCCTGCAGCACAATGAGTTTTAGCAGACACCACACAGTTGTCTGGACATGGAACCTCCTTATGCTTCTCAGATCCCGCCCAAGTCTATTACTAGGGAAAACTCAACAGTAGCTCAGAAAATAAGGTCAGATAAAAAACCAAATCTACATAATTAAAAATACACACTAGACAAAAAAGAACAAACAGACTGGGCATAAGGTCATCATTATTTTTTTAATAATGAATTTTTCCTTTGATTTTTAGAAAACAAAGACATTTCCATGTGCAGAACACAGTCATAAATGCCAACACTTTTTTTTTGAGATAGGGTCTCCCTATGAGGTTCAGGCTGACCTTGAACTCACTATGTAGCCCAGGGTGGTCTTGAACTTGCAGTGATCCTTCTGCTTTGGCCTTGCAAATGCCAGCATTACAGTTGTGCACTACAATGCCCAGCCCTAATACTTTTATCAATATATGCAATCCATGCCTTCTGGATTTTAAACACAAACCATTAATATCCATATTCAACAGAGGCAAGCCATACAGTTATATGTACAAGACAGGTAAGCCAATGATCCTGAGAATCTTCAGAAGATCTTCGAATCTAGCAGTTAATTGCAAGGATTCTCACCCTAACTATATATACTGACACCTGTGAACTAGACAACTGCACTGAAGATGGCAATTTGTAATAGTAGGTTCATGCTTGGACTGCCTGTCATTCTGGTCTTCTGAACACATGCTGCTTGTCATGACACACCAGTTGCTGTTGTGCTGTCTCGGGTAGATGATTGTTTAAAAAGGAAGGGTGTGGTGAATGAAGGCAGGAGACAGGAAAAAGGAGTGTTGTGGGACTGTCCTGCTACATTATATATGGTGAGATTGCTGGACTTATGTATAAATATATAATTCTTTATTCCCATTTTTAAAATATTTTAATTTTTAAAATTTTTAGTCATATTCTGTAGGGACTTAAAGTTTAACATATCAATACTTTATGAAAAATACCTGTTCCATGTTATGCCTAAGATGTTTGATTTTCAGACAGATAGTGAGGTTAAGCTCAACAGCCTAGGTTATATGGTAATAACAATAAGCTTCTCTTCTGGAGGGTTAACAACCTAAGTTTGCAGACCAAAAATTAGAAAGAAGGAGGGTGGCAAGGAAAGTCAACATTTTGGCCCTAGCCTTCCAAGGTTAATTAAGACTCAGGACATATGAGAACCTGTACTATAATATCATGTAACTCAGTTGTGTCCCAAATTTTCTGATCAAGGAGATTATGGGCCCGAAGAGGAAAGTGATCGATGATGTAGAGTGTGTCTAAGGAGAGTGACATGGAGAGAAAACATTTTCTCAGGCTTTCACAGAGAGCACATTGGTCAAGCAATAGCTATGACTCATCCCCATGGCTGACACTGACAAAGGATCTACAATCTGAGGTACAGGGTCTCAGGATAAATCCTGAGGGAATTTCACTGACCTTATCAGGTACAAAAGATACAGTTCTTGTTACATAGATCTTGCTTTATCTTGATCTTAACCATCCAGCAGAAAAGTATAAAAATGAAGTACAAGAAATAAAGCTGGCTTCCCAGGCAAGTGCAAGGGCCTGAGTTCAATCTCCAGCTCTGAAAAAAAAAAAAAAAAAGAAAGAAAGAAAGCCGGGGCTGGGGAGATGGCTCAGTAGAATAAGCACTTCCCTGGCAAGTGCAAGGGCCTGAGTTCAATCCCCAGTTCTGCAAAAAAATAAAAATAAAAAATAAAAAATAAAAACTCCTTTGTATAAAAACAAAGGAGTTTTCCCTTCCTCTCCCCTTTCTGCCATTCTAGTTCCTTTTTTGTTGTTGTTGTTGAACAATTTCTTTCAACACACAATATTATACATTTTGAACCTTATTTACTCCAGGGAGACAATACAATGTTTACACATGATGATTTATTTCACTTATGCATATGATCTCAAGTTACATCCATTAACTGATAAAAGTATCAAGTTCACTTTTCTTTATAGCTGAGTAGGACTCCATCATATAGGATCACATCATTTTTTTGCAGAACCGGGGATTGAACTCAGGTCCTTGCGTTTGCCAGGGAAGTGCTTATTCTACTGAGCCATCTCCCCAGCCCCCAGATCACATCGTTTTATCCATTCCTCAGTTGATAGACATTTGAGTTGTTTCCAAGATTTAGCTATTATAAACTGTGCTGACAGGAACATGAGTGCACATACAATTGTACCCAGGAGGGAAACAGCTGGGTCAAATAGAACCTCTAATCCTAGGTTTTGGTTTTTGTCTTTGAGGCATTTACACACTGATTTCTAGTGTTTGCACCAATCTACAGTCCCACCAAAAGTGGAGAAAGGTCCTTTTATCCCCACAGCTCCTCCATCACTTATTATTGGTTAATTTCTTGATGACAGCCATTCTTTCTATAGTGAGTGGGTATCGTGGTGTTGTTTTGTATCTCTTGAATGACAAATGATGTTGAGCATTTTAAAAATGTATTTATTTGCCATTATTATTTCCTCATCTGACAAGTGTGTATTTCTCTTAGATGCTCATTTTTGATTGGGTTTTTGAATTTGAGGGAGTCTGATTTTTTTTTCCACTTATTTACATGTTCTAGTTGTAAGTTCTTTGTCTGAGGAACTACTGATTAAATTTTTTTTTCCACTTTGTAGGTTGTCTTTTCACTCTGGTAGTGATTTCTTTTGATGTGCAAAAGCTTTTTACTGAGATGTTATTGATTCTCTGAAGTATTTCTCATGTGGCCTGGGTTTTGTTCATGAACTCTCCTGCCTACGTCTTTAAGATTTCTACCTGCTTTCTCTTCCAATATATTTAATGTTTCTATTTTATTTTTTATTTTTATGTTTTTGGTACCATGGATTGAACTCAGGACCTTACGCTTGCTAGGCAGGCACTTATGCTGCTGAGCTATATCCCCGGCCCCGTTTTAATATTTAGATCTTTGATCCATTTTAACTTTAGTGTAGGGCATGGTGATAGACTAGAGATAGGTCTAGTTTTAGTCTTCCAGCATATGGAGAGCCAGTTTTCCAGCACCATTTTTTAGAGGTTATCTCCTACTAGTGAAGGAATTTAGTCCCCTTTTCAAAGATAAGGTGGCTAAGTGTGTTTGCAGTTGTCTGCACCTTCTGATCTGTTCCACTGAGGCGCAGGTCTTTTGTTTTCTGCATATACCATACTGACTTTTTCACAGTAGCTTTGTAGTGTAATATCAAGTCAGGGATTGTGATGCCCCCCGCCATGACTTTGTTATACAGAATTGCTTCTGCTAGTCTAGGTCTCTTCGGCTTCCAAATGAATTTCAGGAATATTTTCTGTGGTTCTGTGAGGTATACTAGTGGCATTTTGATGAGGATTGTGTTAAATGTGTATAATAATTTTGGGATATGGCCATTTTCACTATGTTGGTTCTTCCTATCCATGAGTAAAGGATATCTTTCCATTTTCTAAAATTGTCTTTAATCTCCTTTTTAAAAAGAGTACTGTAATTTTCAATGTATAGATCTTTTACTTCCTTTATTAATTTAATCCCTATGCATTTCATTTTTCGGATGTTACTGTGAAGGGTGTGATTTCCCTAATTTCTCTCACAGTGAATTTACTGTGTACAAGAATGCTACTGAAGGACCAACCAAATAGCTCAGCAGATTAAAGTGCCTGTAAACAGGCCCAGGGGCCAGGGGTTCAATTCCCAGGCCTGCTGTGCTGGCCCTGCCTCTGGGGCACACTGAGATGGCAACTGAGACTGGGCGTGGTGGCACGTGCCTGTAATACCAGCTCTTGGGAGGCTGTAAACAGGCAGATCACTGTAAGTCCTATCTAGTAGTGAGACCCTGAACACCCTGTAGACCCTTCCCTAAAATACAAAAAAAAAAAAAAACCTCACCAAAATGCTATTGATTTTTGACTTTCTATCCAGCTGAACCACTGAATATTCTGATTAAATCTACAAGTCTTTTGGTGAAGGTTTTGGAATCTTCCATGTATAGTATCATGTCATCCAAAAGTAAAGATCATTTAACTTATTCCTTTCATTAGAGGACATCTTTGTCTTGTTCCTGACTTCAGAGTAAAAGTTTAAGTTTTTGACCATTTAATATGATGCTCACTGTTGAGCTGTCATAGATGGCTTTTATCAGACTGACATAAAGACCAGCTCTTTCAAGTTTTC